GGAGAAACCCCAAGAGTATGGCCCCTGGACACCCTTTTAGCTCAGTAATGAAGTCACTCCCGAGGTTCACCCTTCAGCCAAAGATTACACAGCCCCTCAAAACAAAACGAGATTAATGCGCCCAACAGTCTAGAGACAAGGACTAGAAGGCAGGAGGGGCAGAAAAGCTGGTAATCGGGAACCTAAGGTTGAAAAGGGACAGTGTTGACATGTCGTGGGATTGTTCACCAGTGTCATAAAACAATGTGGGTACTGTTTAATGAGAAAGTATTTGTTCTGTAAACCTTCACCTAAAGCACAATTAAAAAAAAAAAAAGGAAAAAAAATTGAATATAACTCAAAAAAAAAAGGCCCATACAATAAAGATAACAAATGCATCTTTTGTATACCTTGATATAGTTTCAGTAAAGAGAAATGTACAACTTAGTTAAAATAAATTTTCTGTTTTAAAACTTAAAATGCATCTCAATTGGCCCCTATGAATACATGATGCCCATAAACAGGATTCAAAGATATCGTCAAACAATCTGTTAATAAAAGCACTAGATAATTAATTCAGGACCTAAATTATTTTTTTCTGATTTGGCTTACTAGTAATTTTACATCTAAAGGCTGAGACACAAAGCAGCAATAAGTTTGGTTCTCAAGCCAAGACCTTTGGAGTGTATTCTACCACGGTTTCACATATGGCTGAACAGCAACCCCAACCATAAAGCATGGGGTGGGGATGACAGCTCTACTTGATTTTCACAAGACAGCGAAAGTGTGATTGTGGCCATTTGCCTTTCAGAAGAGTCTAAGAAAAGCAGCACAAGTTATTCCACATGTCAGTAAGGATTTCCAGCTTTAACCAGTGCACATGCTCTAGGCTGGCAGACAGGAGGTGAAAAGGACACAGCTTTGTGCCTAGCGGCCAGCTGAACTTGGTGGCAGGCTATTTAAAAAAAAAAAAAAAGCAAGAATTATGCACGGAAGGTGTAGGGGGAGAGAACTGGGGGAGAAATGCGAGGAGCTAAGGTTCCTAGTTGGCATCTGCCTTTTGACTCAAAGAAAGAAATGGCACTTGTCCAACATTTTTCTATTATTGTGGTATCAGCTGCCTCTTAGGCTTGTTTATAAAAGCTGAGACTGTCAACAGAATAAGACACAATTTCTGTTAATAGTAGTAAAATTTCAAGTCCCTTGAAATAATAGCGGTTTTGATATTTCTTCTACAAAGGCTACTTTGATATTACTATTCCTGGCAAGAGCTTTAGGACTTGAAATTATGGCCAGGTACTGTTAAAAAATACATATATGGTAATAGCAAACTCTGAAGATAAGAAGTGTTACCTTGATTCTTTAATTTACTCTTCTAATACATTTAACAGAAGAATGATTTGAAATAAATTGATGCTGGATGTTTCTTACTGAACTGGCATTCTACCATATAAATTTGTTAATAGGCCCTTTCAAAACTCAGTATTACTGATGACTATTACACTAGCTCCTTACTCTGAAAACTGGGAATCAAAGGGAAAGAATTAAGTATTTACCCAGCCTTTTTAGAAGAACTATAGTTTTTACTTACTTCATGAGGGAAGTTCCATTTGACAGTAAATAAATGTACAAGGAATGATAGACTCAAATTAAGAGTAAGGAATGCTTCCAGCTTCTACTTGGGATGTAGAAAGCTAGAAAGAGCATTAGTCCAACCCTCACAAAAAAAAAAAAAAAAGCTGGACAATCTGCAAATTAATAACTTTTCTTGAACCAACGGACAGCTGTGATAGCAGGGCAACCAACTAAAGTGAAATCTAAGGAAAGACAGGTGCCTGCAAGGAGAAATCGAACCTGAGCACCTGCTTTACCTGGGGTACACTGCTGGACACCAGTAAAAAGAATTCTGCCAAAACTGCTGACAAACTGATAAAGGCTGAGGAAGGGTTAGCAAGAAACACAGAACCCCTGGGGGCTGCAGATAGAGGAGGAATTTATGTCTCCTTGCAGGCTCTTCTCAGGACCTCACCTGGTCCTCACACAAGAGATTAATGTGAGTCCAGAGTGAGTGTCCTTTGTGGTGCAGTCCTGAGAGAAAGAACAGTAGCCACTAAAGGAAAAGGTATGAAACCCTGCCTAGATCCTATTGCCCCTGTTGCTCCCAAGCTTTAACTGCCTGGAAGAAGGGCAAAAAACACTGTTTCCTTTAGGGAACAAGTAAAAACCTATTGCAGCTTAGAGAAGGGAAAGAAAAGCAATCTCAAAAAGCATAGATTAACAAGTAACAGCTTGTACACTGCTGGAAGAGGGACAAGACAGTAGAGTGAGAACTTCTCTAAGTCACAAGACCAAGCAAACATTAAGAACAGCTCTCCGGCAATCAGCCCCCACTCCATACAAGAGGAGGAGTTTGACACCTAGTGTACTGAGGATAACCACAGCAACAATGAATCCCCAAAAGAGGCCAATTCCTGACTACGTTAACTCAAACATACACACTAAAGGCCTAGCAGAAGGAAAGGTGTGTCCATTTCCAAGCACAAAATCTATTTACCTCCATTTCTACTGGCCTCACAAGATGTCCAGCTTTCAACAAAAAATTATGAGTATATGAAAAAGCAAGTAATAACACATTGCCAAGACAATATGATCAACAGAACCAGGCTCAGACATTAACAGATGTTAGCACTAACAGATAGGAAATTTATAACTACAATTTACATTTTAAGGGCTTGAATGGAAAAAATAGATATGTAAGATGGATACTTTCAGTAGAGAAACAGCAACTGTAAGAAAGAATCAAATGGAAATTTTTTAAAAAAGAAAAGTAACAGATGAAGAATACCTATAATGGGTCATCAATAGACTTGATACAACCAAAGAAAGAATCAGTGAATGTGAAAATAGGTCAAGAGAGACAACACAAACACAGAAAAATAGTAGAAAAAAGAAAAGTACAGAGAATTCAAGAGATCTTCTCAGAAAAGGAAGACCCAATTATATGCTGCTCAGAAGAAATCTAAATAAAAAGACACAAATAGATTTAAAAAAAAGATGAAGAAAATATAACATGCAACCCCTAATCAAAGAAAAACTGGAGTATCCATATTACTATCAAAGTAGCCTTTAGAAAACAAAATTACTAGGGATGAAGAGGGTCTTTAATTGGCATTGTGATAAAAGATTCAATTCTCTAAAAAGATGCCATATATGTGCATGGAGCTAACAACAAAGTTTCAAAATGCATTCGGCAAAAACTGACAGAACTGAAAGGAGAATGGGCAAATTCACAATTACGGTTTTTTTCAATGAATGTTTTCAACAGCATATGGAACTCATTCTAAGAAAACTGATATAAATAGACTTCTCGAAGTGCATTTATACTAATGGGCACTAGCAAAGGAAGCTGCTTTACAAATTGTTTATATTAATTACAATTTTATTTTCTTTGAAATGTTTTATGATTGTTAACTTCAGGAAACCAAAAAGACTCTTTTTAAAAGGTCTTTGTTATTTTTAGCCTTTTTTCCATACAAAAATATTTAGTTTGCGTTTGGTTATCTTATCAAATTTTGACCCTGAATTTGAATTCTTACTAAGCTGTCCATGTGATTTTCAGGGACATGGTTTGTGGGCAACACTTTGATACATATGGTGACATGTAGCCCTGTTTTCAGATACGGATCCCAATGCAAACACCTCTTTTCATGCACTTAAAAAATTGTTTTTTGTTTTAAGTTTCTTGACTTTTAATGTCAAAGCACTGAGTGCAACAGGCCTATAAAAAGAACCACTTTGACAATACATACACATCTGGCACTTTATTAGCTTAGGTTGCTGGGAAAATGGCTTCACACCCCACCCCATTCTTTGTAATCACAATCCACACACATTTTTTCCTCTACATATCCTTTTTATAAACTACTTAAAGTTTAACTTGCTATAAATACTTCTTTTTCAGACCATCTCCCCATGTGAGGTATGCTTTAAAATAAAGGAAGGGTGCAAGACCCCTACCTTGGTCCCAGAGGCTGGCTCTTAATGCTCTCTCCAGCTGCTCCTCTTCACTCAGCCCCGCTGTGTATGCATCATAGTTCCTGGGTGCTTCTTCATAGTAGCCTGGCCTGCCATGCGGATAATGATCCTGATATCCAGGGTAGCCTGGCCTGCCAGGCGGATAATGATCCCGATATCCAGAGTTGCCTAAAGGCACAATGAGAAGGTTACAGAATACTGCCATGAACCATTCTTTTGTTTCATACTTCCTATTTTGTGTAAGCAAAGGCAAGAAAATAATCCATGTTATTGTTTTCAGCAAAGCAATAATCTTCCAAAAGAGAAGAGATGATAAATGCAGAGTGTCTCTATGATGGTGGGAAATAACAGTCTTGTCATTCTGTATGCTCAGTGGCCACCATGGGGCTGAGCAGGAATGACTCCTCATGTGCAGAACAGGAAAGAGGATATTAACTAGATGGTCCTAAGAGGTACTGAGGAGACCCAGAGTGGATTCGAACCGTTAAGGTACTTGGCTAATCAAAAGGTTAGAGGTTCGAGTCCACCAAGAAGCACTTCAGAAAAAAGGCCTAAGAAAAAATCTGTATCTTAAAAATGAGCTACTGAAAACCCTACAAAGCACAGTTCTACTCTGACACACATGGGGTCACCATGAGTTGGAACTGACTCATCGGCAACTGGTTAAGAGATACTGGAGAGGAGACTGGAATGGGCTACTGCCCTATGGAGTGGATTCTTCCAGCTTAGAGCCATTTAACAGCTAGAGTATTTTCAGGGAAGCGCTGACTGGAGTAGAGAGACCAGGTGAAACAAGAGCTGACCAAAGTCTTACTGTTCTGTGGCTCCATACAACGAGAAGCAGACAATGGTTCAATACACATAGTACAGGATTTCTGTGGTGGGTTTAATACTACACATGGTAATAACTACGTTGTGATACCCAAGCCAATTTATCTGTAATTGTAATTCTATGTCAGAGAGTATAGTTTCTGTCAAGGTGCTTTCATAAAATTGGCTGCTAGACAAAACAAGAGAGAAAGAGACAACTTGGTCATTAAGTAACACTTTACGTATCAAACTCAGACATCCCATTAATAAAGGCCAGTAACAGAGCAGAGTTCACTTTTACAATGTATTTCCACCAATCTTTTCAATTGGCTTGAGTTTACTCCTTACCTTTTCTTCAATCACCTACACGATTAACGTGCATCACTTTAAAATGAGAGCTACGTTTCAGGAAACACATTACACAATTTTCAATCATGGAACAATACATCCCATGGAAGAGGAGTTTTTTTTAAAAAAAACATAGTCTGCTCTATTGTATTTTATAATTCAAACTTGTCCTCTAGTCCTTTAAGATAACATTTCTGCTTACTGCTAATAGATTTTTGTTGCAAAATTTTGTCAGTGACCCAGGTAAAACACACTAATTGAATGCTGATAAACAAAATGAAAAAGGAAGTTTTGTCTGTCTTCTACTGCTTCTCCAAAACCAGACAGTAAGCCATTTCAAGCCAACACCTTTGAAGAGTTATATGGTGTGAACTGGTATGTGCATGTTAGGATGCATATGTATATACACACTCATATACACACATTTTCACAGGATACAATTGGTCTCATTATGAATGGGGGCATAAGTAAAACTTTTGAAAAGTGTTCTCAGGTCAAATTGTAATTTTCTCTTACTTGTGAAGTAAAATTTAAATAAATCATGTCTTTGTTAAATGCAATTTTTTTAACATAAGTTAAAACCTGTTTCTAACTAGCTCATGATACATGTAACTCGTATAACTTATTTTGAACATCATGGATATGCTCTAAATTTAAAGAAGCAATGCCATTGCAATTATGTGGATTATAACTAAGTAGGTAAAGTGACCTACCTACATAAGATCACTTTGTGTTTCTTCCAACTATACTTACTTATTTTATAGACTTTTGTGAGAAGAATATGTTAAAAAAAAATTTTTGTATTAAAATGTTTGGAAAATTAGAAGCTTTTCCTTAACATGCATTGATATTTTACTGCATTGAATTATTATTTTCTAAAATTAAGAGCCCTATGTTTTCCTGTAAATCTTTTTCATATACAATCACTTAAACTTATTTGTATTACTATTGTCTATTTACAGTTTAGCCATTATTTTCTTTATAAGAATGCCATCAGCGTTCACGTTTTTATGTTTTTCAGAAAAAGGATTGTGTTTGGGTGAAAAGTTAAAAAAAAAAAAACTTTCACTGTCTCTGTTGTCTGTGCTATTTAACATTTTGCAAACCAAAAATTCACCAATAGTCTCTTATTAAATAAAATAGGTTTCATGGCTGGCCCCACATTCTGAATTTGTGGAACCATAATTTTTTCTTAGGTATTCAGCAAGTTAAACATACTTAAAGTTGTGCAGCAGCGTTAATTTAGTTTGTTTATATAAACTTGAAGGAGCCCTAGTCGCACAGTGGTTAAGGCAATCGACTATTAACCGAAAGGCCAGCAATTTGAAACCACCAGCTGCTCCGAGGGAGAAAGTTGTGGCAGTCTGCTTCCACAGAGATTTACAGCTTCGGAAACCCTATGTCACTACAAGTTGGAATCGACTTGACGGCAGTGGAGGTTTTAGTATGGTATTTGTTAGAAGGGTTAGTTTTTTTCCCCCCCAAAGATTACCAATCTGATTTTGGTGTGATGGGAGATAAGTGTTAATCTGTTTCACTTTTTTCCCCTCTTGCTGCCATTATCAGACCCTTTAAAGATGACATTTCAAATGCTCAATTAACGTGCTTTTGTTTTGTGAACAGAAATTCCTAAGCTTTACTATGCGTTTTATGTCTTATGTCTCTGTATCACCCAACATGCCTGAATTTAAGCTTCCTATTGCCTTAGTGGATGTATAGAAAAAACACAAACCTAAAAGAGGAACACTGCAGGACAGAACCTGGCACATTGAGAATTTTTGATATTTAAGCCTCACGTCATTTTTAAATTTACTTTTATATTGGTTATGAATAAAATGCTTTCCTAAACTACATTTGTAAGATTAAAAGGGAACAGTTTAACTATTTCTCATAAAATATTTTCAGGTACTCTAAAAGTCTTTATTTCGCATATACAATTAAAAAAAAAAAAAACTGTCAAACCCACTGCCGTTGATTCTGACTCACAGAAAGCCTATAGGACAGAGTAGAACTCTCCACAGAGTTTCCAAGGAGCACCTGGTGGATTCAAACTGCCAACCTTTTGGTTAGCAGCCGTAGCACTTAACCACTACACTAAAACATACTAAGAAGAATAAAACATACTAAGCTGGTTTCAGCCGATAACCTAATGTAATTATATATTTTTCAAGTAAATGTCTGTGTCTACTGTGCCTACTGATTATTTCTTGTAACAACTTTAGCTGTCAGTTGCTGTTGAGTTGGCTTTGACTCACGGCAAACTTATGTATAACAGAATGAAATGTTGCCCAATCCTATGTCATCTTTATGGTCATTGCTACGGTTGAGTCCATTGTTTCGGCCACTGTGTCATTCACATATCATTTCACCTATTTACAGTGTACAATTCAATGGTTTTTAGTATATTTACAGAGTAGTACAACCACCACCCATCAATTTTAGAATATTTTTATCATCCAAAATCCCAAAAAGAAACTCTGTACCTTTTAGCCATCACCCCGAAATCCTTCCCCAATTCCTCTAGCACTAGGCAACCACTAATCTACTTACTGTCTCTACAGATGTATCTATTCTGGACATTTCATATAAATGGAATCACACAAGATGTGGACTTTTAGGGCATGTTTTCAAGTTCATCAATGCTGTAGCATGTACCAGTACTTCATTCCTTTTTATGGCTGAATAATATTCCATTGTATGGCTATACTACATTTTATTTAACTATTCATTTGATCATGATCATTTGGATGGTTTCCACTTTTTGGCCTATTATGAATAAGGCTGCTATGAACATTTGTTCATGAAACAAAGTTTTTGTGTGGACATATCTTTTCATTTCTCTTGAGTATACACCCAGCAGTGGAATTGCTGGGTCATATGAAGAACTGCTGAACTGCTATTCAAAGTGACTGCACCATTTTGCAGTCACACCAGTAGTATATGAGGGTTCCAATTTCTTCACATCCTCACCAAGACTTGTTATTATCTGTCTTCTTAATTATAGCCATTCTGGTGGGTATAAAGTGGTATGTCATTGTGGTTGTGATTTTCATTTCCCTGGTGATTAATAAAGGAGTCCTGGTGGCACAGTGGTTAAAGTGATCAACTGCTAACTGAAAGGTCAGTGGTTCGAAACCACCAGAGGCTTCTCGGGAGACAGATGTGGCAGTCTGCTTCTGTAGGGATTTACAGCCTTGGAAACCCTATGGAATTGCTACTGAGTCAGGATCAACTTGACGGCAGTGGGTTTGGTTTGGGTTGTGTGACTAATAATGTTGAGCATCTTTTGATGCACTTATTGCCCGTTTGTATGTATTCTTTGGAGAAATGTCTATTCATCTATTCAGATTCTCTGCCCATTCCTATTATTACAATACTTTTCTAGCTTGCTTCTATTTTATTGAATGTCCTTAAGTAACAAAAATGAATGATTTAAATAAATATTAAATAAAACTGTTCAGAAATGTGGGGGCTAGTTCTACAAAGCCTTGCTCCTGATGCAGTAAAAATTAGTGAGTATTTAGCAGGGCTTCAGACCGGTTCTTCCTGGTTCAGTCATGGCCAAGGAAGCAAAACTGGAAAAGACCTGAATTTTCAAAATTTGGGTGAACTCGAACAATAACTGGAATAGGAAAAATTACGGATCAAAGCCCTGCTGGAAAATTAATCTCCCTCTTAGAAAACAAGGGCAGTATACACGTTGCATCGCAACCAAATCTCTTGCCTGCCGGATTTTGAGCAGAATTGGGAACAGTGGAGCACTACTCAAAGATGGTGGCCAACTGCGCCTCTTTGAATGTGTGTCACTCTCCACAGTCCTGCCAATAATCCAATCTCACACAGCAGGCTCCTGAAAGGGTTCACTACACCTCTTCTGAGTCTCCCATTCCAGAGCTTCAACCTGTAATTTTTTCCCAGTCTGGTTATCATTCCAGATCACCTAGATTTTAAACATTCAGATCTGGTCTGGTTTCACTTTGTCGGCCATGACAGAACCAGTTCAAACCGGCTCAAAGCCATCATAGTTACAAAATATGAGGTACTGGTGGCTCAGTGGTAGAATTCTCACCTTTCACATGGAGACCAGGGCTCTATTCCCAGTCACTATACCTCATGGTGCAGCCACCACCTGTCTATTAGTTGAGGCTTGAGTGTTGCTATGATGCTGAACAGGTTTCAGTGGAACTTCCTAAGACAGACCAGGAAGAAAGGCCTAGCAATCTATTTTTGAAAATCAGTCAATGAAGACTCTACGGGTCACAATGGTCTGATCTGCAACTGATCATGGGAATGGCACAGGACTGGGCAGAGGTTTGTTCTGTTGTGCATGAGGTTGCTGTGAGTCAGGGGCCGACTCGACAGCAACTAACAACACTTGTAAGAATACTCCCAGTAACCCAACTTCTGTATTCTCACATGTTGTCCATGTCAGAATATTAACATTACTGCTGATATTCAACACAGGAGAAGGAGTCAAGTACGATTTTCAAATCCTCACAATGGTTTAGGGCAAAACTGGGATCTGGATACAGTAGTTTTAAAATGTACACTCTTCCTCAAATCTCTACCCAATAGAAGCATCAGAGAAATTCAGTTCCCACTGGTGTACCGGGAACACCCAATTTCACATCCTGAAGGTAGACAGGCAGTGTACAAATAGCGGTTTCCATACTTGTCACAAAAAAAAAAAAAAAAGAAAGAAAAGAAAAAAAGACTTTTCATATTAAGGGCAAATGGTCAAAACACAATTAATATATCTACTTCACAAGGAACAAAAGAAAGGGTCAACCATTCCGAAACCCTAATAGAATATTTATGGCAAGTTGCTGGCTGCCACGGACTGCTTCAGCAATCCCTGAATAGAGAGACTGCCCGGTTCCCTCAGAGTGCCAATTATTTTACTGCAACACAGAAAGCATGTTGGGCATTTCCCCATGTGGCTCATTAGCACTTTCAAACCCCCATGGAAAGTCATTCTGTTATGAAAGGTCTAAGCAGCATTTCCATGTATCCACCCCCGAAAGTGTTCAGTTAATTCAAAATCCGAAGTAACTCAAAATCTGCAAGTACTCATTTATGGAATAGTACAGATTATGGAAACAGTACAGTCTATGCTGTTTTAATAGTCAAGTACATTGCAGAGATCTAAAGCAACATTTTCTTCATACAGAAAAACATTTTTCTTCATGTTATTTCTTATTTAGAAACAACCCAGCAGTGCCTAATGAAATAAAGTCCACAACTCTATAAACATCCGAATATTATGAAACCAGTTCGGTGCTGGTCAGACAACATGTGAAGAGAGAGAAAGGGAAAGTTTTGGTGCCTTAAGTCAAAAAGACTAGCGTGGTTAAAGGTTCTCTATTAGCCATCATAAATCATCAACAAAACCAAAAATCCCATCAATATCTATTATAATGAGAACAGGTCTCCTAGGACTGAAAATTTACTACAGCTGTTCACTGGCCCAATCAGACGTTTTTAAATCTTCCTAATAAACATTCCTGAGAAAACCTAACAATCAAACACTTAAGACAAATAAGTTTAAATTATATCCCACAACGAATACTAGTTTAGTATTCTTTTGTAGCTATATACTTTGGCTCTATAGCAAAAGAAATTCTGGTTATCATTATCCTATTAACTACTCCATCTGTTCCTTATATGCATACCAGGATTTCATGGCAAAGGAGATCAAGAAACACCACCAAGATTAGAAAAATTGGTAACAGCTTTTTAAACTTTCATGAGGTTCTTTGACCTATAAAGGCTTTCCCAGCTAAGGACGCCCATATTAAGAACAAATCATTCTGGGTAAGAGATACATATGCTCGCATAAAAGTTCCCTAGATGACCATTAGCATGGCCACCTGGCCTTATGTAACTCAGCCTTTGAAGAAATCCAATCACTTCAGAGGAAATAATATAAATATGGTAATCTTACAGGGGACAAGAAAGAAAGGTAAAAGAGTCTTTTATTTTTGCCTTTAATTCCCAGGCCTGTGTGCCTGCTGTCTTTCTACCCTTTCCAAATGAAGAAGGAAAAGAGATTTTCCTTTTCTCATTTTTTAAATAAATGGAATGCCAAAATTAAAAAAAAAAAAAAAAAAGGAAAGACAGTAAGTGGAACTGCCCTACTTTGCAAAATTAAAATCAGCAGAATGCCCACATCTAATAACCCTGTACAATAGAAAAAGCAGAGGCTTGGAATCAGTGGACCCTGGGTGGTGAAATGATAACACACTTGGCTGCTAACTGAAAAGGCTGGAGGTTTGACTCTACCCAGAGGTACCTCGGAAGAAAAGCCTGGTGGTGATCTATCTACTTCTGAACAATCTGCCATTGAAAACTACGGAGCACAGTTCTACTCTGGCACACATGGGGTTGCCGTGAGTGGACCTGACTTAATGGCAACTGGTATCTTAGCAATAATTTTTTGCCCTGTTATTTAAGCCAGGGGTTGAAAAACTCACCTTATGGCCCAAATCCAATCAACCTCTATTTTTGTAAATTACATGCTACTAGAACACAGCCATGTCCATCTGTTTATGCATTGTCAATGGGTGCTTCAGCTCTACAGCCACAAGCTGAGTAGTAGAGACAGAGACCATACTGCCAACAAAGCCCTAAAGCTAAATCGTTAGCTATCTGCCCTTTACAGAAAAGGCTGCCGACTTCAGGTTTAAGCCAAAGCAGTTCTCCATTGGCATGAATATAAAGACACCTAGTGCTTCCACAGTCTATTGCTTGTTTGCATATTTGCTACGTGTCTGAGGGTACTAGTCCAGGATACTACAATGTAGCCTGGGGGTGACTGAAATGTAAGAGTCTTAGCTTAATGCAGGTCTTATGTTTTTAACCGGGAATCCTTTCTAGCTATTTATACAGGCATCTAGGAAAAAAGCATTCTCCTTAAGTCACATAGAACTAACTATTACTGGAATGACGACCTTACCCACTTAGGGTTAAGCGTGACTCTTCCTGAATATGTAGAGGGGGTGGACTGTGGAGGATCATATACCTGAAATTAACTTGTAACACTAGTAGCAGTGTGGTCTCTTAGGCTTAGAATCAGGGACCCAGGTCTAGTATGAATCTCACCTTGTCTGAGAGATCTCATCCCAATCATATTATCTTCTCATTCCAGAGTTTCCTCCTTCCCTGCCCTTCCCTACCAACTCGACCAAATACGCTCCCTAGGCTATCCCGGCATCTAGCTTCCAGGCACGTTAGCGGCACAATCATATGACGTGTGAACTACTCCACAAAACCATAAACCCGGATTATCTTAAAGGAGCTCTACAGCAATCAGCACTATAATTTTTTAAACTATGTTAAAATTTATCAAATGTAATAAGGTGCTTACCTGAATTATTGAAGTAGTCTTGCTGCCTTGGGTAACCAATACCGGAGGAAAAAATGCCTAAATATGAAGGAAACAAATATTTAAATAGCCACAGGATGAAGGAAACAAACATTTTAATAATAGTCATAGGCTTTCATCTGCTAATATTTCTAACAATTAGGAGGTTCTTTGTGACAATGCCCGGTGACATTTCAAGCCATTTCTAAATGATTGTTAAAATAAGCTCCCTTTTGATTGGGGTCCAGCCCCATAGAGAATATAACATGTAGCGGATACTGAAGCCCCCTAATTTATGTTCTGGAGTCCCTGGGTGGTGCAGAAACGTTAAGCATTTGACTGCTAACTAAAAGGCTGGCCATTCAAGTCCACCCAGAGGCACCTTGGAAGAAAGGGCTGGCAATCTACTTCGGAAAGATCAGCCACTGAAAACCCTACAGAGCAGAGTTCTACTCTGATATGCACGGGTCACTATGAGTCAGCGTTGACTCAAAGACAATTGGTTTAAGTGTAGCATGTGTGCGTGCATGCACATGCGTGTGTTTAAATTTAAATCTTTACAGGTTTCTGTTGACATAAAGACAGTCTGCCTCCCAAGGCACCAAGCTTGGGCTTTGATGTCTCCATACAAGTAGAGATACTCTGGCTATAGAGAGAACTTTCCCCCCACAAAGATGTCAGGAGGGCTATGTTCCTCACCCTCTCTAAGGGCCCTTCCCCTTTTCTTATCCCTAAAAAGACAGTAGGATCATCCATTCAGCCCTGCTAAACCAGGGCAAGGGGAAGGGGCAACAGGTCACGCCCTCAATTTGATCCTCCTCTTCCGGGCATTATCAGACAGCAGCCTTCATGTGCTGGGCTATCTTTCATTGGGTTCCTGTGGCACCTCAATTCTCCATTCACTCTAGATCGTCCACAGGAAAAAAGGCAGAGGGCTCATGGACTATTCACAAATAGCGCTGGATGCTTGATTCACCTTTCAGTATTTCATTTTCTGTTGCGTTGCTTCAAAAATAGAGTGATGTAAAATCAAATCTCTATAGAAAACAGGCAAGGTCTTAGGGAGGAAAACTCATGGTTCATATGTTATAACTGCGGGGGGGAAATCCTCTTTAAAAACAAAACAAAACAACTAAATTCTGTAACACTGTCTACAGATAGCATTACTAACTACATAATCCTGAGACAGGCAGAGAAAAATGAAACAAAGCATTAAACCCCTGAGAATCAATTCTCTTCCTTCATCATTACTGAGAACACTTGATAACAAAATTCATTAGTAGATTTCCATAATTAAATTGTATCGAAATTATAATAAAACTGGACATTTTCATTAAATGACACTCTTGCTGCCGCCTCTAAGCACCTACGCTGGAAACAGTAATAAGCAAATGCAGGGAAGTGGGAATCTTCTAAGATGCCACACAGTCTGTAAAAATCATCCTAAAGTGAACACAACCTGCTAATAAAGGCGACAGCGCAGTGCCTGGAAAGCTTTCTAAAATCATGAATATTATATGGCTCTCTAGAATACCAGTCATCGGCACAAACTGTGAAAACAAATTATGTACGGTTAGAGAAAAGGTAAAATTAGTCTCAGAAGGTTTCTCATGAATAAAAGACGAAATATTGGAACTCGTACAGTCTATAGAACAAGTATTCGCAGAACAGTTTCCTTATGAGTCAAGACTAGTACAGCATTTTAAATTAAGAGGTCTAACAAAATGCATATGTTGCTAAACAAAATATTTTCACTGAACATCAATTTGAAGGGAAACCCAGAAAGCAAAACTAAATAAATAAAAAGAAAACAGGAGCCACGCATCCAAGCATCCATTAGTGACAGACTTGGTTTTAGGTCACGTAGGGATATACTACCTTCCCAGCCAAAGAGCCAGTAGTCATTCAAATTCTGTAAAACACTGGCCTTGTGCTTCAGCACCGTTTTGTTTTTTACTTTGCCTTGCACGCATATTAATTCACAGAATATTCTAGAAGAATGCATTATTTTAAGCCCACTTTAGTTCTCTGCATTTGAGGAAATCGTAGTTTTCTGTGAACAGCGTTAAAGCTAAGGGTATAAATATATACCACCATTTGTTCCCTCAGGAAGCCTAAGATTTAAAATTTGGGTCTGCAGTCTGCTCTCTGGAGCAGTGTGAGGAACTGCAGCAGCTGTTCTACCTCTTGGTTTAAAAAAGAAAAAAGGAGCACAATCAGGAAATCCTACTGATCCACAGGGAAACTTGGGGTTGCTCCTGTTTACATAAGAATTAACATGAACTTCCAACTTGTCATCATGCCAAGGGCGTTTTGTTTCGTACCTGCACATGTTTCCATTATTTTCTTCAGGGGCCCTTGAGTGTACATTAGTCCAACAAGAATCCCGGCCAGATGCCCAGCGAAGGAAGTCCTAGGAGGGAAGGAGACCCTTTCTGAGTGTTTGCTCGGCTGCTGATGCGATACATTCTGCCTTCGCATGAGCCAGCGCGTGTCAGTTAGTCTCAGTCTGCAGGCTTTGTTCCACATCACATCTTTTATGCTGAGCAGCACTTAACTCAGTCCAAAGAACAACATCTCCTACCTTAAAGAAAGTACAGTGGATAACAATCACCACGTATTTCAAGAGTAACACCTCTCCTTGCTCAAGAAGTGGGTTGACCTGACTCCTTCAGAGCAGCGGAAGCATTCTGTCAAGACAACCCATTCTATTTCTTCCAGTTTTCCTCTGTGCCTCTTATCACAAAATATAACTGAAATCAGCTTTCTGTTCAGAACTAGATCTTGAACTATTCAGCCATTGTGAGGAACATTCTCTGTGTTCACAGCAGAGTAGACGGCTGCATTTTTTATATATGACTGACTAGTGAAGCGGAGAGCAAGAGACACTTGACCAAACAGATTGAGAAGTCCACACCCATGGCCACAAAGTTGTCTTCATGTATCTCTGTCAGTCACACTCAGCAGAAGAAAACAAAAATGTAAATTTCAAACTCAAAAGATGAGTTAGGGCATTAAATTGGCTCTAACCTGTTGCCACCAAGTTGATTTCAACTCATAGCAACCCTATAGGACACAGTAGAACCGCCCTATAGGTTTTTCAAGGAGTAGCTGATAGATCCAAACTGCCGACCTTTTGGTTAGCAGCCGAGCTAATACTCATTTCTGAATATCTTCCATCACCCCCAGGCTTCTAAATAACTGGAGTAGTTAACACTCCCAGGAGTCTGCAGTACTTTCGGGCTGGTGTGCGGCCGAGAGAGCTACTGTTGAGTTCACTGTGCTGAACTCCCTCTCAGCCTAAGCTTAGAAAATTACCGAGGAGTCTCTGTACAACTCTGAATTTCACTGTGAAGATAGGTCCTACACAAAGTTCTCTAAGCATCTGACCTCAATCTCCAACCGTCTGCCACCACATAACCGGTGCACGCATGTGCACGCATACGTCCGTGTGCACTTCAAACTAGCCTCTTCTGGATTGCTGCGCCCACATTCAGTTGTCAGGTCCCACCCCTTTGTAATGTCTCTCATATCTGTCCTAGCCTTTCCATTCTCACCACCACAGCTATGCTTCTAGCCCTCATTGGTCCCTCCCTGGAAAAGCACAGCATGGGCACAAAGCAAGTCTCAGATAAATGACCCGTTAGACCCATCCCCACACAGCTGGCCTTCCTCATCTCTGTCCTCCACCCTCATGACCCGTTAGACCCATCCCCACACAGCCCACCATCAAATGCTAATCTGAACCTCTATCCTAAAACAAGAAAGGTCAACCCCCTGCTGACAATTTGCATCTCTACCCCAGATATACTGAGTCAGAATCTACATTTTAACAAGATTTTCATGTGATTATTCCATCAGTCTCAGATTATTCTCCAATATTCAGCATTTTCCACAGAAGTTTCATCTCAACAATTCAGCTGTTTTTTTATTTCATTTAAAGCGGAAAGAGGCCCTGAGACATCACAAGCATGAGGTTACAAGTTACTTTCATGGTCCCAGAGCTATAAAAAGACTTGGTGGTGCTCAGGAAAAAGAACAGGCAATGAAGGAGCTACGCTTCGGAGAAAGATGAATGAAAGTCTTCTGTAGACAGGATACCACTGTTGCTTGTCGCCGTTAGCTAGTTAAATCACACTACTGCCCAAACAAACCCCTAAATGCGTCCACACATACTGAAAGTCACAAGCTGCACATGTGCATGCACGCACACTCTCTCATTCCCTCAGGAGAGCTAGTATTATTTTCATCAAATATTATCTACCTGACAGCATGTGTAACCTAATAATAAAAATAAGGGATCAGACAGTTGGTTTCCCGTTTTCTGGGAAGAATAGCATGAACTATGCTTTATCTTTAGTTTTTCCAAAAAAAAATGTACTTATTTTTAGCCTAAATAAAACCTTCCAACTAACTTCAGGAATGGCAAAGGAGGCAGTAGTTTGAAGGCTATAACGAAAAGGTCAAGGTTTTTTTTTTTTTTTTTAAATAATAACTTTAACTGAGAAGATTAAAATAACATCAATTTTGAAACTTTTTAAACCAACCTTCATTCAGGTGAAGCACATAGATAGAAAATAACATGGGAGAAGATTTCAATTTAAAACTTTAACCTATTAAACAATCTTGAATCTCATTTACAATTTAGAGTATAATATAATTAAATGAATTTCTTATCTCGCTAAATGGGTTTTCAGATGTTTAGTTATAATCTAATTGCCCTAAGGGAGGCTAGCAGACCAGAGACCGTATCACGTTATTTTCCAATATTCAGCATTTTTCACAAAAGTTCCATCTCAACAACTTAGCAGTGATTACTTCATTTAAAGTCTAATAAAGGCGTTCTTTTTAAAATATGAGATTCTTATTTTTCAATCAAAACTGATAATCTCTCAACATTACACAAAAAAGGAGAGGATTCCACCAATGAAGAAACAGATGCTCATCTTAAGAGGTATATTGCTAGTCCCCGACTTAGGATGGGGGTCCATTCCAAGGACTCCGTCGCAAGTCAGTTCTGACAGAACTCAAATACTTTTTTGTATTTTTCAAGTTTTATTATTGCCTTTTATTATCAGTGTCTTTAAAAATCTGATCTTTATGTGTCTTTGGGGGGTTGAAAACGTTACATATAAACAACAGATATATTTTAATACATACATACAGATTACTAATCAGGTGCAGATTAACCCAGTAAGCAAGGTACACACGAGTTTACTTGTGTTTACTTACTCATCTGTAGTGCACAATTTAACATGGCGATGTGGAGAAACACATGTGAAACTGTGCACTATAGATCAGTAAACAAACATAAGTAAACCCATGAGTACCTTGCTTATTGGGTAATCCGGCCCTGTTACTAGTGATAAAATCTCCCCAGAGGGGGAGATGATTGTTACTATCTTCTCCCAGCAGGGGTAGGTTCTCCAGCCCTACAGAATCAGGGCATGTTATGGATTGAACTGTGTCCCCCAAAAATATGTGTTGTAAATCCTAACCCCTATACCTGTGGTCATAATTCCATTTGGGAATGGGTTTTGTTATGTTAATGAGGCAAGATTAGTGTAGGGGTATGTCCTGAGTCAATCTCCTTTGAGATACAGGAGATTAAGCAAGAGAGGATGGGGGAAGAGAGATGCCATGTCACAGGAAGATCACCAAGGAGCCATGGAACAGAAGAAAAGAGACGAGGATCTTCCCCAAGAGCCAACAGAGGGAAAGTCTTCCCCTGGAGCCAGTGCCCTGAATTTGGACTTCTAGCCTCCTAAACCGTGATAAAACAAATCTATTTGTTAAAGCCCCCCACTCCCACTATTTCTATTTGAGCAGCACGAGGAAACAAAGACAGGGCACTTTATCCCTGATCCTGGCAGGTGCTTCAGAGCCATACAGGAACCCTGGGCTTTGGGGATGGAGACACTGAGTGCTCTGATCTATGGCTTGGCTCTACCCTCAAATCTAACAGCTTTAGAAACAGATTGGGTTATTACAACCATAATTATACATGATAACAGGCATTTTTAACTTTGTGGTCTCAGAGTAAGCCATGGCCTCCCAGCAGCCTCACTCGAAGGTGCACTCTTGCCTCTGGTTCTTAGCTGTATATGGAAGCCGACACCCAGACAACCATGCAGGGAAAACCCTGTCCCTCAGAAGGACTTCCTCTTGACCTCACTAGGTCTCAGGCTGGGACTGAGGAAAACAGTTATGACCCACCACCCTCTATCCTAATTCAAAGTAATTCCTCAGTGACCGCCATCATCACGACCACCTGCTGTGGAGTCTATGCCCACTCATGACAATCTCATGCGTGTCAGTGTAGAACTGCGCTCCACAGGGTTTTCAGTGGCTGATTTTTCAGAAGTAGCTCAACAGGCCTTTCTTCCTAGATGCCTCTGGGTAGACTTGAACCTTTAACCTTCTGATTATCAGCGAAGCAAGTTAACCATTTGCATCACCCAGGGATTCCTCCTAAGGAGTCTAACATCCTAAAGCTAACAGTAAATAATTACCAAATGAATAGTGAGTGGAGAGTGAAATTAAAATTACAAGCAAAATGTACATACCTAAAACACACTATAACTGTATTATAAAACCACAAGTACACATGGTCACCAGTTAATAGTTGTTTCAATTCCAAATTTCACTGGGAGAAAGAATGTTTATTAAACACAGCTCCGTTCTCCCACTCTCGACAATGTATTACACAAGACATCTGTGTTCAATTAACAGAACAACAGCACTAAATCTATTATCACACCCTAAAATTGGTAACTTAGGGGCTTTGTTTCCTTTGATAGCTCCGTAATGACTTTCTCTGCAACAACCATTAACAACAGGGATAATCAAACACTGACTGTGCCACCGAGCTACAATCGTAGGGGCCAGGTACACCACCACAGTGTATGGCCACATGGGCTGTACACTGCACAGTCCTAGACTGTTGCAGACAGATACGATGAGAAGAAAAATATTTTATCCAAAGTCACAAGACATCCACGAGGTAACTGACAGATCCAACATTCAAATTCAGATCACGACACCTCAACTTCAAGGCAAGAACGCATCAATGTAATTTCATTTTAATAGGGAACAGTACCTTAATCCAGTAGTTCTTAAACTTAATTCTTGTCCCATCCCCCTTTAAATATCTGATGAAAGCCATGTGTCCTCTCCACAGAGGAAGTGCACATACACAAAAAACATCACCTATGATTTCAGGCAGCTCATAGATGGCTTAAACTCCATCTATCAACCTCTCGTTAAAAACCCTTGTCTAAACCACCACAGGGATCATAATAGAGGGTCCCGGACAGAGCAGGAGGAAAATGTAGAACAAAATTCTAATCCACAAAAAAAAGACTAGATTTACTGGTCTGACAGAGACTTGAGGAACCCCGAGACCATGGCCTC